ATCATCCCAATTTTATTGGGGAAGGAAATTAAGGCTTAGAAAGGTAAAGTGACTTGCCCAAGCTCACATGCCAGTAGGCTGAAGCCAGAACTTTGAAAAGTAGACAAGAGAGCAGTAGGCAAGGAGTCAGGGTATTGGGGCTGTTCCTTCCACTGACTAGGCTGCGTGACCCTGGGCAAATCGAATCATCTCCATGGTCTTTGTATCTGTCTCTGAAAGGAGAACATTGAGCCTACATTGACACTAAAGTCTTTCCCAGTGCTAAAGTTCTGATTCTCAGTATCTGTTTTCTATTTAGTCCCTTGTTTGAAAATCCTTGGAGGAAAAGAAATTAACCACACAGAACCTGAAAGTGACTCTGGAAGCCAAATTTAGAAAACAGATCTCAAAAGGAGAAAAAAGAAGTTTACAAAATGTCTTTATTTAGAAAGTGAGACTGGCCTGTAAACTGTTTGGCTTGATTTGCGAGACTCAGTGACCAGATAAAGGCCATACATAGCTCTTTGACTAGCCAGTTTTCTTGGGCGTAGTAAGTCATATAACCTGCTTCAGTGGCACTTTCTGGCCTATTACACTGGCTACACTGGCTAAAGCTGGAAGAAGCCCATCTTGTGTGGGAGGGATCTGAGAAAAGAAGCCAAGCTTTTCATGTGGGTGTTCTATCTTGAATTCAGAATGTCTATACCATTCTGTCTACTTCTGTTTTTGTTCTTAGTGATTATTATATAGTGACACAGCCCACTGCTACCATGAACCAGTTTTTTCACAACCTTGTGGTGAGCCATGGTGTAGTGAACAGGTCTGGCTTCCATTTCTCCATGTGGTTCTGTTTGAAAGTATGAGCTTGAGTTTGTGATAAATCTTGGCAAAAAAAGCTATCTGTAGCTTTGTGATCTTGGGAAAGTTACTTAAATTCTCTGTGTGTAAATTTTCCTCATCTTTTTATAAAATGATGCTTATCCCACTTGATCTTCATTGTTGTGGATTTCAAATAGTATATTTGTGGAAGTAGTTTGGAGAGATTAGAGACTTCTTAGATGACAATGAAAGTGACGCTGAGAGAATGCCTCTCGCTCAGAAGCCTGGTGGTGCTGTGCACAAAGCAGGTGCTTTGGCAATGAGCAAGCCTGAATTAGAGTCCTAGCTCTGTCTGTCATTTGGAAAAGTTATTAAATCTCTATAAATTTTCAATTTGTAAAATGCATTGTTGTTGTTGCACAGAAGTAATAAACATGAAGTTCCTGACACACAATAAGCCATTAATAAATAATAGCTATTACTATTTTTATTATCGATTATTGAATTACGATGCAGAGTTAGCAGGTTCAGAATATTAGGTGTTATTTTCTAAGACATGCATTCAATTTGAACTCCAGGAAAAACAATGAAATCAGTTGTCCTTCTAGGAAACCAACTACCCTAAATGGCTAGGCCAAATCTGGAAGTTTATCCTCATACACATCACACCTTGAAGAAATATATAAAAGAAAGTACCTTTGTTTCCTTTAGAAGACTCTGCCTAAATCCCTACCTTCTGTGACTGCAAGAAGTCTAGGAGATTGTTAGGATCTCAAAACTTACCTTTGTATTCTAAGTTTCTCTGAACAAGATATAATTACAGTGAAATAATTCCCAACCCTTTTTAGCATGAGAATCTAATTTTAAGGTAAAAAAAATTTCAAGGAATTGCATATAATAGTTCTACTTTAAGTAGCCTTTGAGAAAATACATGATAAATATTCAGCAACACTGAAAAATTAGAGTCCCTCTTAAAAATGTTTTTAAATACATGAACTTGATAGACTATTCACAGGGCACAAAAGGGAATACCATGAAAGAATCCTTCTTGCAGCCCATCCTTCAGTCACACATTGCCCTTCCCTGGAGCCAATTATCATTTCAATTTCTGCTGTGTCCTTTCAGAGGTAACTATTCACCACAAACACTTACATATTTATCATTTTTAAAAAGACAAAATGGTAGCATATCTTACCACCTTCTTCACTTCACTTTTTTTCACTTACCAATGTTTTGCTATACTTTGTTGTACTTCGAAATGGATATGTTAAAAAAAAAAGAGACTATATACTTTTATTCATCATGGCATGTACTATTGAAAATTGTATTGCATTTTTTAATATACAGAAAATCCTAGTGTGCAATTATTATGTACCACTTAGAGATTCTCAGGTCTTAGATTGGGAACCACTGGTATAAGGAAAATATCAATAATATTCAAGATAATTTTGGCCCTTACTCTGCACCAGGCATTGTTCTAGTCACTTTACCCATTATCTCACATAATACACATCCTCCTCATCCTTCTAGTCTCAGTTTAAATGTTATCTCCTCAGAGAAGCGGTCCCTTATCCAAGTAGACCTACCTTTTCCCCTTTCCATTATTCTCTATCGTTTCATCCTGCTTATTTCCTTCAGGATACTCATCACTATAAATAATTAGTTACTTATTTGTCTACTTGTTTACTCTTGTCTCCCTAACTAAAGTACAAGCTTTGAGAGCAGGGACTGTGTCAGTTTGGCTCAGCACAGAATACCCAGTGACCAGTACAGTGGCTTGGTACTTGGCACAGAGGAGCCATTCAACTGCATATTTGTTGAATAAATACATAATGAGCAAAAAACAGCTTTATGAGGTTGACCCTATTATTTTCTCCATTATACCGACGAGGAAACTAAGACCTAAAGACTGAAATAGACTTATCCCAAAGTTAGTAAGTCACGAAATTGGTTTAAAATCCATCCATACTTGACTCTAGAGCACAAGCACTTCACCACTATTCCAATCTCAGAAACAGAAGACTAAGTATAATTATGGCTATCTGAGATCCTGAGTAAGTCCCTTTTCCCCTCTGGGACTTTTTCTTTCATTGAAAAACAAGAGAGTAAATGTAGCCATCTTCCTTATGGGGATGTTTTGTGATTTATGAGATCTGTGATCTATGAGAATGAAAGAGGAGACATTGAAGTGACCAATGAGGTTGGCTTGACGCTTTTAAGAGTGCTAATGTTTGGTTATTTTCTTCCTTCCCACCTTCCTTCACTGAAGATTTGCTGATCCTTCTTTTATGCCAGGCATTTTGTTGGAGGTGACAGGGATCCAAAGACTAATAGGAGATAGTACCCAACATTGAGGTGCCTGGCTCGATGGAAGATGCAGACCCATTAACAGCTGCTTGGAGTACAGTATGGGCCCGTGCCATAATAGTAATACTATGTGTGAGACACACAGTAACACAGAGGAGGAAGGGATTAATTCCATCACGTATGTGTCTGGTGGTGGGACTGGAGGCGGATATAGGAAAGGGGATGAGGTATAACACTGAGCTAGGCCTTGGGGAAAGAAGGAGTTTCCAGGTGGATGAGCTGGAGATGAGGCTTCCTGGACACAAGAGACATCATGTGTAGAAGCACTCTAAGACATAGCATAATGTGCTGCAGGTTGCTAGGGTAGGAGGTTTGCTCTCAGGCTATGAAGCTGGCTAGGTAGAAGTAGCCCATGAAGAGCCTTGCTGAAGAGTTTGGACTTTACTCCTGAAAGTAGTGGCATGCCCAAATCATATTTACGTTTGATTTTTAGAAAGATCACTCTTGCAGTGGTAGGACTGGAGGTGGGCAATGAGGCAAAAGAGATGGAGTCTAGTTAGGAGGCTTTGAAGTTATCCAGGTGAGAGATGATGAGGACTTGTACTTAAGGTATTTGCAGCAGAGTTGGAAAGGAAGTAGATAAATTGGAGATTTTTAAAAGGTAGTGCCAAGTGACTTGGTGACTGATTGGAAGAGGGAGAATGAGAGATGAGACTAAGGGATTTATTGTAATGGATTGGGTGACCGAGTATGAAATGATGCTGTTAATAATGGGAGGGAGTTTGGAGTGGGGTGGGAGAAATCATGCTCTTGGCTTTAGATATATTGAGTTTAAGCTGTCTCTTAGACAGGAAGAAAGGTGTAGCTCCCTCCTTCCTTTCCAGAATAGCAATCCTAGCCTAAGTCAGACATCCTTGGGCCGGTTTCCTGTGGGGCCTAGTCAGGGATAAAATTCTTCAAGACCTCACTGGCATTCCTGAGCTCAACATCCTTCAAAGATAAAAGCTGGGTATTGAAAACTCTCTGGACCTTCATTGATAGAAGAATGAATTATGAACCTGTTTTTTTGTTTGTTTGTTTTGTTTTTTGTTTTTTGGTGGTGGTGGTATGTGTGTGTGTTTTAAATCAGATGCTGGCTTCAGTGGAGCACACCCTTCTGCCTCTTGCAAGCTTCAGACTTCATAAAAGAAACCATTTTCATGGAGCAGCCTCAGCCCTGACAGGCTCTGGCTCTCAGTTGGCTCCCAAGAAGCGCCCCCACCTCTCCTGGGGAGCGGATTTTTAAAAGAAGATGAGGTTCCATAGGGCTCAGCCTGGTCCCATGTGGCTGCTGGAGAAAGCTCAGAGTCTTGGCGACTGGACATTCTCCCAACCACCACCATCTCTGGTTAGTGTCCTCAGTGCCAAGACAAGACTCCTTGTAGCCCCAGCTCTTTCCAAAATGACAGGGCTGGGATCCTCCCCTACCTCGACTCAAATATCCAGCGCTCACCAGGCGGTGGCAGGGCCGAGCACATGGGATCATTTAGGGGCTGGCCTCCAGGGTCCTCCCAGGGAAGGGGACAGCCCAGGAGGCAAGAGGCTGGCGGTAGCAACGTCTCTGGCTCCTACAGCTGATGCCCAAAGGCAGGGGCACGCCCTGTGTCCCATTCCCACCTTCATAGGATGCTGCCATAAGCCGTTATCTTCGCCCTTTCCTCATGCACTACCCCCACTGTCATGCTGATAAATCCCAAGAGCAAAGGGTGGCACGATTCCTCCCGCGCCCCTGCGGGCTGAAGGCGGGCACTAAAGCAGTGCAGTCCCAAGCTTCCCCTGCAGAAGCCGCGCTCCTCACTCAGTCCGGGGGTAGAGGGGGCGCGAGAGAGCAAGTGGGCGGGCGTCCCATCCTCCGCATCCTCCTCCAGGTCCTGGCGCGCAGGGTGGGAGCGCTGCGCTGCGCCGCGCTGCGCATCGCGGCCCACTTGCCGCCTGCCCCCTGCCCTAGCTGGGTCACCTCCCCAGGCCGCCGGTGGAGGGCTGCGAGGCGCTAACGTTACGCTGTTTCCGGTTTTCCAGCGGGCTCTGTTTCCCCTCCCAAGGCGGCGGCGGCTGAGCGGCGGAGCCCCCCAAATGGCCTGGCCAGATGCGGCAGGTTTGCTGCTCAGCGTTGCCGCCGCCGCCACTGGAGAAGGCTCGGTGCAGCAGCTACAGCGACAGCAGCAGCAGCAGCAGCAGCGAGAGGAGCAGCAGCAGCAGCAGCGAGAGCGGCAGCAGCAGCAGGAGCAGCAGCAGCAACAGCAGCATCTCCCGTCCCGCTGCGCCCCCAGAGCCGCGGCCGCAGCAACAGCCGCAGCCCCGCAGCCCCGCAGCCCGGAGAGCCGCCGCCCGCTCGCGAGCCGCAGCCGCCGGCGGCATGAGGCGCGACCCGGCCCCCGGCTTCTCCATGCTGCTCTTCGGTGTGTCGCTCGCCTGCTACTCGCCCAGCCTCAAGTCGGTGCAGGACCAGGCGTACAAGGCACCCGTGGTGGTGGAGGGCAAGGTACAGGGGCTGGCCCCGGCTGGCGGCTCCAGCTCCAACAGCACCCGCGAGCCGCCCGCCTCGGGTCGGGTGGCGCTGGTGAAGGTGCTGGACAAGTGGCCGCTCCGAAGCGGGGGGCTGCAGCGCGAGCAGGTGATCAGCGTGGGCTCCTGTGCGCCACTCGAAAGGAACCAGCGCTACATCTTTTTCCTGGAGCCCACAGAACAACCCTTAGTCTTTAAGACGGCCTTTGCCCCTCTCGACACCAACGGCAAAAACCTCAAGAAAGAGGTGGGCAAGATCCTGTGCACTGACTGCGGTGAGTCGCCCCCTCCCTCTGCTAGAGAAAGGGGGGAGGGGCGGGGTGGTGGAGAATGGGGGTGGGGCGAGGAGGTGCTGCAGGTGCCCAGGCCTGGCAGCGTCCGGGCGCTGGGGGGTGGGACCGCCCCTGGGCAGGGCGCCTGGCACGGGTGGATGAGGGGGCTGGGGTTGGGGAGAAGGAGGATCAGGTTCAAAGTGTGCCAGGGGTGGGGGTTGGGGGGAGGCGCCGGCCAGTGCCAGCAGGGATCTGCGGCTGATGTATGGCATGTGGGGCTGGAAAGCTGCCATCATAGCCCAGTAGCGGAAGGAAAAACGGAGAGGTCCAGCCGGTGCTGGCCTGAGGCTCAGTGAGTCAGGAGTGACCCACGGAGGCCTTGCCCGCTCTGCTCCCACGGGCCTGCTGTGCCCAGGTTGGCAGGGTCTGCAGGAGCAGCTGGGCAGACTCCCAGGCTGTGAAGGCCTCGGCTTACAAGTTCTCCTAGGGAATGATCGCCCCCGCCCCCTCCTTCCTCTCCTGGGTTCGCTGCTCTGCTCATCCCCACCGCTGGCGCAGGCAGAGTTGGACTTTTTCTGCTACTGTTTTCCGTCCTCCATGTGGCTCCGGTGTTTTTCTCCATCGTGATTGCCTGTCTTTGCTAAGCGGCTAGCACAGCCTTCTCTTAACCTCCAAGACTAGCAAGCAGACACCTCTTTTGGCTATTTCTGGGCTATCTTACTAGGTCTGTTGATTGTGATGAAGAAATAGAGTAACTTACTTCTGCTGAATGTTTTAAGTTCAGCTCTGACATCTTACTGGCAGGATGTATTGACAGCATCTCTCATCTTCATGATGTTGGGTGCTGCACAGGAATGCAGGTGATTAGAAACACAACACTGAAAGCTATGGGTCTGTGCAGCTGGGAACGGACATCTCTCATGTCAGAAGTCAAAGAAATGTCGGTCTAAGAGCTTTTTCTTGTCCCTGGATCCAGTACTTACTTCTCAGTAAGATATTTCGAACTGAATTATCCCCACACTAGAGTATTTGGTGTTAGCCTGTCTTGTGCTTATTCATATTGGGGTTTCATTTTGTGTCAGCTAAGGCTGAATTTGTTGGCATGCGGTGTGTCTCTCTGGACTGTATAATCACTGAATTGTGATAGATGTCCAGAACTCTCATAGAAGTTGGTATGTTTACCAGTTTACCAACTGATTCTGGGTAGTATAGACAGGCTTTGAGTAACAAAATATGTGTAACAGCTTATAGTAAGTTTTGCTGCCCTCATCTTTCTAGAGCAATGCCTATGACTTTTGGAAGCTTCCCTCCCCCCACCCCCTTCAAGAGACAAATTTTAGGAGTTTAGCTGTGGGAGTATATCTAGGTACTGTGTTAAACTGTGATCACTTTAATGAGAAGTATCTTGGCAGTGTCTTGATAAGGAGGGGAAAAACTTTGAGGATAATAGCAGTTTATTGCTCTGACATTATCCTAAGGAATATTGTTGACTGCTTTTTAATGTTGGTTTTATGCTCTGAAATGTTTTATGATGACAAGTTGAAACCAGCTAAGAATTTCTAATTTTTTATTCTATGAAGTATTTTATCTGAGATCCCTTGGGGAGCTGTGGAATTGTATTATGCTTTGAGAAATAGACAGTAAAAACATTTATTGAACCTTGTCCAAGGACAGCTTCTGTTTTGTTTTTGGTGAGTTGCTCCTGAATATGCACAGTGCACATCTCTACATAATCCCTTGTCTTGGCCACTGCGGACCTGGTGGTCATTGTCAGATAACCCCATAGAGTAAAGGGTTTCTCTGCTCCCTTGTCCCCCTCCTCCTACTTTCTCCTTTTGCCAACACAACATGCCTTGTTAATTATATATTCTTTGTTTTAGTGAGCATTTAATAGCTTAGCAGTTGAATACAGAGATCATGAAAGATTTTAGGGTCAGAAATATAGTCTGTTTTTAGGTTATGATCATCTCATATTATTAAAATAGCATGTGTAGTGTAGTTCTCAAAAAGATAAATTTAGAACTGCAATCTCTGGTAAAGGGGAGGCCCTCACACATCACAAATTATCAAGGAGCAGGTGTGTATGGCAGTAAACATTTTAGAATGCAAAAAGTTTTGCTTTGAATTGATAGTATATGGATAGGTGCCAGCTTGAGGGTCCTTATAAGAGAGGTTTAGAAATTATAGGACGTATATGTGAGACTTGTGGAATTGGCCATAATATGACAGAAGAGTAAAAACTGCATTTTCTTATTTCGAACTATGTGGTTAAAGAAAACATGTACTGGTAATGGTATAAAAAGTAAGGAAACGAAATCATCCTAACTAACCACAACACTGTCCTTGTGCTCAGCAGGAAATAGCTAACAAATTCATTTTATGTTTTCTATTCTACAGAAAGCCCTCTGGGCCACAGGGTCATTGGCAGCATTTTCTCCTTGGAGAAGATTTGCCCATTGCAAAATAGGGAAACTGGCACTTGGAAACTGTCATCATAGCAGTTATGTTGAGCAACTGAGGTTGCACTGTTACTTTGTTTAGCCAGTTTCAGTTCTGAGTGTGTCTGGGTTCTGAGAGGTGTAGTTCCTAGGCAGGTCATCTAGAAAGCTGTGGGGGTTTTTTTTGCGGGGGGGTGGTCAGGACTTTGGGATAAAGAACCATATGGAGGGATATATTGTGCTTAAAAGTTGGCACATGCCTCAGTACCATCAATGCAGGGGTCATACTGGACTTCTTCTAAAAGGTCCTCATAAATGGCTAATTTCCACTGTGAAATGTTGACTTGAAGTCTGTGATCTAAGATGGGGAATGGTGTACAGGGGTCTTGCTGGAATAGCAAGACCTGCCAGAGGGACATTTTGACAGATCTAATGTGTATCATTTATCCAAAAATGCTACATCTAGTAGTAAAGAGTTGAGTAAAATCTTTGCATTTCTAAGAAGATTGCATACATGGAGGAAAGTGTTTTCTATGCCTTCTATGGAAAGAAGAGGAAAAAGAGTTAGAAAGGCCTTGCAGGGATTAACAACTCTATACAATGCTGGGGCATCCTGTTCTGCAAATAGTCCTGCATTTTACAAGACGGTTGCATGTATTTCGGTAAAATTATACCCTATCCTGTTGTTTTCTTATATACATGTTTTAAAGCTGCTTCCTTATTGAATAGATGCAGTAGATAGCATTAAAAAAAAGATAATTTCTTCTTTTGGGATTTTCTGATTAGCAGTTTTCCAGTGTATAGTGTACTTTGTTATTAAACATGGAAAAGGTATATTCCTGGGAGACTTTACATTCTTTAGAAATAGTTTTAAATTAATTTGGCACCAAGATTCACATATTAGACGAAGGTGGTTCACAAAATTCAGTATAGCAAAAGTGACTGTATATTTTTAAAATGCTGTTTATTTAAAGAATCTTTTCTTCCCTAGCCAGCTGGAAACCCAGCTGTGCTGCAGTTTGAAGATGGAAAAGTGAAACTAGATTAGAAACTGACCAGTCCTGGTGATGAAGACAAGTCTTGGTTATAGATTTAGGGGTTGAATTACTACCCCTAAATAATTACCATTATTTCTTATAGTGGCTGCTTTCCTCTGCGGACTACAATTCCTAGGGCAGGAACAGTATCTTTGAGGTATTCTTTCTCCTAGCTTCCCTGCCCCCTGCCCCTCAGTTCTGGTGCTGCGCCTGGCTCATAGAAGGACTTTTCATAAGTGTCTTTTGAATGGATGAAGTCAAGTGAAGTTAAAAAAGAAAGCCTCTAGATTTCAACTAAAGCAATCTTAACTCTCAGATCCGTGACACTAAGTCCTGTGCTGAAAAGCTGAGTTTGATGATAGCCTTTACCTGTCGCTATGGGAACCTTTTTTTCCAAGGGAATCGTTATCAACTAGAGTACTTAACCACAATGTGCTTAATCATTGTGCTGATTAGTGTTAATGGGATTTGAGCTTTGGAGAATAAAGGTTTGCTGGAGGAGACTCTCCTTCTTTTTTGGAGGGTAGATTACCACTAGCCCACCCTCAAATTTAAACAAAAATAAGACAACTATAAGTTTGAATTAACAAACACTTTTGGAGCTAGAGAGAGTGGTTTATTAAAAGTCTAGGTGACTAACTTCCTCTTGGCCCCTAATCAGAGCAAGGGTGCTTCTTCTTTTCTGTCTTCTATTATCTAGGGCATTGTAGTTTTATTTCTTAATGACATCGTTTTTTCTTTATAAAATTGCATTTATATTTTTGGCTATGTAGCACATTTATATGGCTCAAAATTCAGAAAATACGTAAGGATATATGGTGAAAAGTTCCCCTCTTACCCCTGTCCTTAGAGCTACCCAGCTCTAAGTCTCTATTGTAAAATAACTTATTCTTGCAATGTTTATTTCTGTAAAATCACAATGTTTTCCAAAGTAGTCCTATACTTTTATTTTAACAAATGGAGAATGTTAATTTTGCCAATAAGCTAATTTTATGGTAAATGCTTCCTAGGTAATATGTATTTTTTTAACCTAGCCCAAGGTCTTAACTAATTATCTCTGAGTCCTTTTCTATCTCAAGTATCTAGTCAAAGGATCCTCTTTCCCCCTTAACCAGTACCCTTCCTCACAAATATAATCCTGGGGACAGGAATGAAAATACCAACTTATTTTTCGGACACTTTGCCATTAAGAAGTTGTCTATAACAATGAATTTTGTAAGTGTTAATTAGGATGCTCAAAGGGGAGATCCAAAGGTTTGTCGCTGAGATTTAGGTCTGCAGCTCTGCCCCTACAGCAGTTCCTACCGTTTCACACACTTGGTAATCTCACAGTAGTGCCCATGTGGGAAATCACATGATTCCACAGATGGAAAGAGAAAAACTACACAGTGCATGATTACTTTGATTTTCACACAGAAGGCAAAGACCCCAGTTGCTGATGAAGAGTTTGATTTTGACCATATTCATGCACAGCTGGTACATTCCAGGGGACTTAGCTACCCAAATACTGTTTTGAAGTACGTTTTAA